AACCTGGGTCGGTTGTAAGAACGTATAGCACTATCAACTGGATAGTGATTTTTGCAATCGTATTAAAAATGCTCATAAAGCTTAATTGCGCTTTTTAACTATGGATCTCGCAATTAATAAAAAGAAACTCCAATAGGCAATTTGCCTGTTAGACTAATTTTTGATATTCTAGAAAAGAACTTATTATAATTAGAAACATTGCAAAATTTGGTTACGAAATGTTGTAAAATATACGGAAAATACAGCCTTGCGAAGTTTGCATAATTTGTGTATGTTTGTATATCACGTGCGGAAACTGTTACCATTTTTGAGCCGAAAATGGTCACAAATTCAGAACGTAATACAGTAGGTTTAACTAATTTCGACAAACGAAATCATTATCCACCATCCACTGTGAACTAAAACAGAAGTACATCCATAAAAATTTCCACGTTTTCATAACATGTGCAAGGTTTACTGAACGAACATGCCTCATTAGCTCAGGGGTTAGAGCACTGGTCTAGTAAACCAGGGGTCCAGAGTTCAAATCTCTGATGAGGCTACTTTTCCTATTTATGAAGCGAACTGGATAAAGAAGTTCGTTCTTTAAGTTTTGCAACGTTTTACACTTCGATTTACACAATGAGAGATTCGAACACAACGTTTTACACAATGAGAGATTCGAACTCACAACCTTCAGTTTACGAGACTACTGCTCTACCCTTGAGCTAATGAGGCACAACTTTCAGCAGCCGTCCCTTGATTGTGAAGATTTATTAAGGTTGATTGGTTGCGGTCTCAACTGTGCCAAAGCACGTGCAAGAAATTTAATTTGCTGTAATATAAGTCCCTTATTTCTGTACTCCCCCCGCTTATAATTTGCAATACATTTCTTATTATAGACTTATATTCCACAAATTCTGATAACGTGGGTAGCCAACTCTACGTAGAATTAATAAGCCAAAATTCCGTGAACCACATCAAAACCTGTTGTGGAAGTTTAAAATTGAGAAGGCTAGGTTAGTCGAAACAGAAAATAATATAAAGTTCTGGGGTTGGTTGTACGAAGGTTGGATAGCGCTATCCACTGGATAGTGATTTTTTTCAACCTTTGTAAAATGCTTGAAAAACTGTGAAACTACGGATATAGACGACACAAGAAGTATAAAAAACATTTAACGTATAAATACTAAACTTTAATACGAGTTATACCAGTCAACGACTGACTTAACAAAGCTTGGAAAAGTCACTATCCGGTTGGATAGTGATTTTCCAAAATCACCTGAAACCTGGTGCTGTACAAACATATACAACATTTGCAAACTTTGCTAGGCTATATTTTCCAAGCTCTAATACATTTAGCAGCCAAAATTTTGCATTTTTATTATTTTCATTATGTTCCTTTTAGCTGTGGTGTTTTATTCCCTTCTCTTTACTTAGATTAAAATTTAGTCTAACCTACAAATTGTCTATTTATGAATACTAAAGTTTAATCCAGGTTATACCAATCGAAGAACAATTTTAAAAACTTGAAAAATCACTGTCCAGTTGATAGCGCTATTCGGTCTTCGTACAGCCAGCGCCAGTAGATAAAGAAAGTAAGAAACCTGGTGCGAAACAAACACAAACGAGATCTGGTGTAGTATCATGGCCAGAAATTGCGGACATGGATTCTGAGCATGTGCGAATTGTGACAAACAAAATAGCGGAATCGTTATATATAAATCACTAGGAGTGGCGCGGTCTTTTTTTATTTAAACTTGTTGAGTAATAGCTATGTCATTTGCAGGCTTCGCAATAATATAAACTATACCGGGATCGTAAAACAGAAAAGTTAATTTCGCATCGAAATCTTACCTAGTACATCGGCGTATAATAAAGTATAGTAAAACTTGATAAAATCGTTGAAAACGTACATTTTGCTCTGGCCGCATGTATCCCTTGAACCCTTCATGGAATTTGCAGACTCGCCGCTTCGCGTCGTAAAATATATGTTGTCCCCTGCTTGTCTGCATAATTTCATAGTGATACGAATTTTTTAACTTGTTCCATTTTACGGGACAAATGTTGATATTTTACCCATAAATACCCTGTCCACAGCCCGTAAAACATTGCAAGATGAACGATGTTTCATGAATTGTCGTCCATGTTTGATATCAACAAGAAGCTTAGGAACCAGGCTTTCTTCCAGTGTGGGTTACATCGAGGGATAGCGATGTATACACAAAATATTTGAGATCATTCTGACCCAGGCGAGATCCCGCCTCTTTCTGCCTGGAAGTCATCAAGGCGAGTTACTCGGCTGCATCATGTAAACAGTCACCCGGGATTACTATTAGTTCCCATTATGGCCGGGATCTCGCCGTTGCTGAGTAACTCGATCGCCTTGTAGGGTAACTCGCCTCCATATAAACAGGCCGGCTAAGATAGCTTTTGTACAGTTGATATTGGAGCTATATACATATTGCGATTTAGGGTTAATAATGCTGAGCACAGTGAAAATGGGTTATCATCCACTATCATCCCAAGTATAACAAGCACTAACTTGAATTACTATTGGAAATTAAACGGTTCGGGAAGTATTGACGAAATATCGCACGCGTTACTCGGTTCTGATTGGTTCAAATCTGTGTCGATTGAACATTAATCAGCATTAATTAGCCTTTCTCACGATGACGAATATCCGCCATTTTTGGGTGGCACCTAATTCTCGTTAATTAACCAATGCAGACAATTAAAACAATGTGAAAAGCAATTTTTCAAAATAAGCTAACCATTTACAAAGCAAATGTATCATCATTCATAAAAAAAAATATGAAAAGTCGCTGTTATGTGGACTTATCTCGCGGACAGACGGCTGAAAAGCCACCCAAAAATGGCGGCGCGAGAAAGGCTAATTGGATTAATTTAATCGGAACGCTTCCGAGCTTCGGCTGGAATATTGCACTCCCATGCATGCATACATACATGCATATGTGAGTGCAGAAATGTTAAAAAAAAATTAAATAAACAACGTGAAAATTTATAATTTCTGAGCTTTTGTTATATGCGGTAAGCTCTTATTTATCTTCAAGTATACGTAATATACAGAAGGAAAAAATGAAATGAAAATTATTCACATATTCACAGGTAGGAATTGAAAGTTAGATGTCAGAAAACTACTGTCTCTTGAAATTGATCACAAAAGAGCTAATGCATGTGTCTTGTTATTGATTGCTTGTAAAATTGACAAAAAATTATTATATTAATAGGAAATTACACTTGCTCTCGAAGTATTATTCAGAAACTCATTAAAAATTAATGAGGAAAACACAAAGAAAAATCATATTCGTGTCGTATCTTTATATGTGGTAGAGATTTCCCTTGATTTACATAAAACTTTATCTTTGATTTTCTCGACTTACTCAACGTATGTTTTGAAAATTACTTGTCAATGAACTTACTAGATCGATCGTTTTTGAAGCAATTTAAAACATTCGGCGTGTTTTATCAGATCTTAAGACCTCGGCTTCGCCTCGTATCTTTATATCTGATAAAACACTGCTGCTCATGTTTTAAATAGTACATACAATATCACACTTACGTTTGGCGAAATATTTATATAAACATTTCGCCAAACACACGCATGCATGATTCTTCACTACTACGTCAGAACAGTTGCAGTTTTCTATTTTGATTTTCAATTCATTCCAGTGAAAACAGTGAATAATTTCTATTTCTTCTTCATCTTCTTTACTTGAAAAAATTTACGTTTATTTCAATTTTGTGTTTGATTTTCTGCACTCATATGGGCGTCCGCAATTCCCGTGTGTGAAAAAGCATGCCAATTATAGTGTTTAATCGGCACAGTCTTTAACCAATCAGCATCGAATAAATTGACTATAAAAATGATATTAAAATAACATACCTTTTGTTGTGCCCAGTTCCACGCTTTAGTCACACCTTCAACATCAGTTGCGTACTCTTGAATCGTTTTCAACATGTCGCCACGAAGTTCGTCTTCAACCTGTAATTGATGAACGAAAATTGTACAATTAATATGAAAAAGCAGCTGGAGAAATAAAAATGAGTAGAAGCAGAAATTTTAACCTAAATTCTGCACAAATTATTCATTTCGCAATCAATATGTGCGGTTCTAAAATATAAAATATACATGCCATGCTCATACGATATCTGAGTTTTTCGTTTTAGTGTTTTTTTTTTCATTTTGTGCTCGCCAGAAAATGCAGAAAAATATAGTAACATATCTTCAAAATATAAAGTACTCCCTTAGACCGATTCTTTTTCTCTATAAATCAGGAACGTTTATTGCAACGTTTTAATACATTTTAGTAATACATTTTCTGTGTTGAAGTTCGTATTCAGGTAAAATCCATTTACAAAACATCTTTCTTTACCTACGAAATCCTGTATAGTAGTGATATATGTATACTAAAACTGTCTGTACCAGTGTGGTTAGTACCAATGTGAAAATGCTGTGCTGAGTGGTTATTAATATTACTACCTTAAAAAATAAGCAGAAACTCGACGTAAACTCGACGTTTCGAACGAAGGCCCTTCGTCAAGAGTTTGTAGCCAAACTCTTGGCTACTAACTCTTAACGAAGGGCCTTCGCTCGAAACGTCGAGTTTCTGCTTATTAGTAGTGAAGACGTTATAATCATTCATAATCCAGTGATTCATATGTCCCGAGACGGACTGGCCGCCCGCTGTTTGGAAGATTCAAATTTCTGAAGATTTAGTAATAGTAGCTAGATAAGACAAGCGTTGAAGATACGATGGCAGCCATGTATCACGCAGGATTTCTGCGCATGTGTATGTGTATACTGTACGTTATCAAATTTCCATGGTCAACACACGTGTCAGTGAGTGATTGTTTGTTATCTTTTTTCTTTTTCAAACATAAAGACCAGAGTGGGGGTAGTTTTTATATAATTTATTCAGAGTCTATGACGTTGGCTAGCTTTAGTAGTGAAGATGGATTTTCAGATGCACTGGGCCCTTTTTATCATTACTAAAAAGGCGCAACCTCGTTGCGTTGCCTGTTTCTGATATTCTCTCACTTTCTGGATATTCCACCTTATCAGTAAAGGTCAGCAGCACACGATGACCGTAATTAATGTACACATAATTGCATGGGAGAAGAGGCGCCCTCACAGTTAATGTACTTTAAACTGTCCCAGCAGATGTGATCCATATAGGTATTAGTATGGTTTCGAGTGCAATTTGGGAAAAACATGCGCCAGTGAGTTTTTCAAAAGACGATCAAAATTGCATGAGTCCGAAGAACGAGTGCATTTCGAAGTCTATAAAAATTCACGAGTGTATGTTTTCCAAATTCCATGAAAAACCGTATTATTACTGATTAATAATAGCTTTGTCACTCGGAATGTTTAGGCTTTTTATTATTTTTACTTTTTGCACTGTATTTCATTTTTTTGCACTGCATTTCACTTTTTGCACTGTATTTCGAAAAAATTGCACTGGTCCCACCCAATCAAAAATGGAAAATTTTATCATGCATATTATTAGTTAAAAAATGCCTTGAACCATTATGTAGTGTACTGTACCTATTGAAATTTTAGTAAGCAGTACTACCTTTTGTCTATATAACATTCCCAAGATGACAGCCACAATTTGCACGATAACAATGATCACCAAGACAGAAAAGAACTGCAAAATAGTTAGTTGCATAATAATAATATACTGTAGTTTTCTTAAGGTATAAAAAACATCATAGTTTCGCGGCGATTAGAAATACAATAATGTAGTCTTATTTTTCACCTTGCTCGGTTTCCGTTGTTCTTGTCGGGGAATATATTCAATATAATATTCTCCTTTAATCAATTTCCGTTTAATAATCCCCTCTAATATTCACCTGCAATTAATAATCCCCTCTAATATTCACTTGCAATGTCTTTGCAGCACAAAAAATGAGAAAAAACAACATCGCGAAGGCAATATAGCATTAAGAATTATTTCTTTTCTGACTCATTAACGCGACCTCGCAGTGTGAAAAATAAGTACGTTATTTTGAGGCACCTCGGGGATATGTGAATACAACAATTCTATGAATATAAGTCTTTTTTGGACTTTGCATGCATGCATGCATGCATGCATGTGGATATGCTCATACGTGTAATTAGCTTGCTCAGAAGCATGCATTTTGACTCTTCTCACCATCTGACATGCGCATGCACTGACAAATTGGTAAGCGCTTAATTTATGCCGGTCAGAAAAGTTATTACAAAAACAGCGGGTGCATCCAAATGCCCAATTTATAAGATACCATGTTTTGGTGTTAAAACATTCAGGAATGCGACTACTTGCATTCTAACCTAGTGAAATAGATATTTTATGGATGGCTACATTTGATTAATTTGCGAGAACTTGTAAATTATAGGTTAACATTTTAGCAAATATGTGCATTTATAAAGAAGATGCTTCTGTGCATAGTTTTGGACAAAATGGTGAAATTCAGTGGCGTAGTCAGCCCGACAATTTAGTCATGCTGTGCAAATTCAAAATTTTATCATTATTAATTTCTTTAGAAATTGATTGTTTTCACAGTCAATGACTGACACGAAAATATCTGCATAGCGGGACTAAATCGTCGGGCTGGCTACGCTGCTGGTGAAATTAGCTACATTACTCCCTTTATCTTTCCGTGTCAGGGGCGTAGAAAGCGGGTAAAAGTTAGGGGGGGGGGCGATTGTTGAGAACTTGGAGTCTCCATATCGTCGGAAATGGTATTTTCAGGGTCTTCTCTGCCACTTTCGTTAAGCCCTTTCAAATTCTGTCGTTATGATTTGTAAGCTGCCCGTGAGCCAGGATGGATGACTAATATTACAGTAACTTGCTGATAATCAATGTAATGGAACTCGCACTTATATGTCATACTTATATACTCGTAAAAAATGTTGTTATTAAAAATAGCAATAAACAATTGCAGGTACATTATTAATATGATACATACGGTTTCAAATACTTCCAGTTTCGAGAAATCAAGCTATCCCGTCGACATAAAATATTGGGTGGAGATCGAGCGAGGCCCCCTGGCTCCACTGCTTCCTACGCCCCTGTTTCTGGTTGATTAAGCCTTCTTTCATAGCCGACCATTGTACTAAAAAAAGTGCAAGATGAACCGAACTTACTATCCACAACAAAACTGAATTTCGTTTAAACGCTCCGACGACGCCAACAATCGCGATGACTGCAGTCACGGCACCAACAACAATGAGCAATATAGCTCCAGAAAGTCCCGTATCTGAATCAGCAATGGCGACATAATCTCCCTTTTCTACTTGGACCCAGATACCCAGACCAAGCAGGGCTAACCCACCAAGCTGAAAATGTAAATACATTAAAATATATTCATGAATTTATGACTGATGATAGTGAGGTTCAGATTTGACTTCCACTACCGCTACAGCTGCTATTAACCACCAACCAATCAAGTGTGTTTGATATATCTGATTAGCCTTGACCCGATGCGTACTAAGCCAGTGAGAGGTAATGATAGCGGAAGTGGAGCTCAAATCTGAACGGCGGATATTCATTTGTCCGACAGACATCGGTTGACTGGAAATTTTTACCAACACGGAAGAGTCGAGTTGAGTCTATACTCTACTCTACTCTACTCCACTTATACAGTGGTTTCTGGATAAAATAACAATTAAAATCTCAGTGAGGTGACTAGTTATGTAATTTATTGTAAAAAGGAAAAATTTACCAGAAAGAATATATTCACACCAATAAGCGACAATCGTATGCAGTTACCACTACCCATTCTATGAAAACACAAATTTTATAAGGTGTATTAAAAGATTGTAGTAGAGATAAGAAACATTTTAAGTAAGAAGAGTAATTCATGGCTCAAATGTACAAAGTGTTCACAAATTCGGTAAGCCAAAAACGCGAAGAATTAAAAGTGTATTTAATGAGTTAAAAGGGAAAATAAATCAGAATTAAAAGTGAATTAAAATATGGCCATATATTAAAAGTCAATTGAATGAATCAAAGTGTAGCAAGTGGCGGAGCTAGCCATGGCAACTGGTCATGCTATACTAATAACCCAGCATCTAAAGGGTTAAACACAATAAATTTCTAAAGGTTTGAATAATGCAAGTCATTAAAAATTTGCACTGAGTGAGTAAAGCCATACCGTGGAGGTGCCACAAGAGGGACACGCCCCCACGCCCAACTATCTTCCAGGTCAGTATTACAATTCGTTCAAATTGGATGGGTTGGAGTGCGTTCGTGACATACATTCATATTGGGTAAATTACTTTGACTCATGCAGAAGAGTGTTCACTACATCAAACTACACTAGAAGGTTCTTTCATCTGCACGCCCTTTTAAGTTCCTACTAGTCTTGCCGTCTAGCCGGCGATATGAAACTGTTGATCATCGTATATATTTCCGTGTACATGCTATGTAAAATTTATTTAAAGACGCTAGCCTCATCAACAGGTGTTGATTTTCACAAACTATATTAAAATATTTGCAAATATACAAATATACTTAAATTAGGGGTGTCCAATACATGAGTATTAATAGTAATTACTAATTTAGATATTCATTTTGAAGGAATATAGATTGCGCCTTTTTCGCCTCCCGAGAGAGGCGGTTCCAATGTTTTGCCCCACTGCATTTAAAGATTTTTTTTTAGAACGTCCTTCCACACGAATTTTTTATCACTGCACATTTTATGCAAAGTTTAATCGAGCAGAAGCACACCCTGAAAATGTCTGAACACACCCCTGCAATAATGTATAACCAGAAAACAGGCTACAATTGATATTCCAAATTAACAAAACCAACCATCACTGCACAGCACACAGGATCGTGCAGGGAAATTTTAGTGCCCGGGCAAAATTTATTTTACGGTCCCTCGTGATTTTATCTTCTAACACTATGATTGGGGGGGGGGGGCTGTATTGTTCCCGGGAAAATTTCAATATTTGAGTTCCCAGAAATGGCCAAATCCTGCATTCTGGAAGCCTGTTGACAATTATATATCATTTATATTTTACTGTGATTCTTTATTTGGAGCCCTCTTTACCAGGACTCCAGCATTGCTCCCTCCAACCATCTGGGAGGTATTGACAGCACCTGCAGTTACGACTATCTACGACAGTATAGTTTCATAATATATAATCACGTGTTTGCAGGAAAGGATTTTCTTTTCTTGGCAAATGAAAGGCGGCTTAGGCGTGACAAACCTCTAGAGCAGTTTCAGGGGCATGCACCCACTGAAAATGTTGTAATCTAGCTAGGCTCGCTAAAAGGGCACTGTGATGTGCGGGGACATTCTCTAGAATTTCGAAGATTATACACTTATTACAAAATGTTAAGTATTATTTACTTCATTTTCGAAGCTCGTGATTAAAGAAATCTTTGGTGGGAGACCTTGTTCAATGTTTTGATTAATACGGTCAAGTGGCAAAACGAACTTTTAGTTCAGTTTTTCTGCTCATTGTCTCATTTTCCTATTAATTAACAACTTATCACAGCAAATTTTATCACTGCACATTTTACATTTTATTACTGCACATTTTACTTTTATCGCTGCACAAATTGGTTATCACTGCACACAAAAATTAGGTATGCTCGCTTCTCGGTTTTGGAAGATCTATATCAGTATTACTGTTTCTAAGATTATTTATTTTTGGAGTTTATCAAATGGTTGTTTGCCTCAATTGCCCCAATGTGGAGATCAGTAATCAGAATAAGGCTAAATCTTAATCAGGGCATTGTAGATCATTTGGAGTGTATCCACAGGGATAAAATGCACATAATTAGTCCTGAGATTATCAAGTTGTAATGCTTATATACTTTTCTCTCTATTATGTCTTTCCTGGTCGTATAAAAATGGCGTAAAAATTAAATTCAAAAATCTGAAAAGCCACTGTGGGAACTTATGCCTTTACAATCACGTTCAAGCATGCCCGGAAACGCTTGTTAGTCGCATTTCAAACGCACCTTGAACACTCAACAAAGTCTATTCGCATGACATGGTTCAGCCGTACGTTATGCTGTTTAACCTTGATCAGCGTGACGCCCCGACGTATCGCAAACATTAAAAATTTCGAAAATCTCTTGGCTTTTCAAAGAAGAAGCATATACTTCTTGTTGTACAGTGGTGTAAGAAGTGGGAGCTGTTGTGAACTTGTGGGTGCAATGCAAGTACCATAATAACATAAGTGCGTGCATGGGTTATAGCGCCTCAAATCTTACCATGCACAAACACTTTTATTATGCTCCTGTTCACGTTGGATCAAGAATATTTGTAATTCTTTGGAGTGAAGTGCAATTGTGAGATCAATTTATTGGTTCAAAACAACCACAAATTTGGTTATTTCATACAATGTTTCTGTTGGTTTGATCAAACAATATTCGTCAAAATAAAATACATCTGAGACAACCAATAGACCTTATGCATAATGACGTCACAAGGCTTGATGCCCACAAGGCATGCTGGTCTTGGCAGTCATCGCCCGGGAAAATTTCGATAGTGGCCATTTTGAATTGTTTAATTTTCCCGGGCGATGACTACTAAGACCAGCATTCCTCGCGGGCATCAAGCCTTGTGACGTCATTATACATAAGGTCTATTCAAATTGGCTATTTTAACCAATTTGTTTTTAAGCTACGGATGCACGGGCAATACTTTTCTGGCGATGGCAATGCAATGATGGTAAAATTGTTGCATTGCCGTCGCGAGAAAGAAATTGCTTGTGTATCATGCTCTGCGACGGCAATGCAAAGCTGCGCGCAATCGTTGCCGAAATTTCGAATCATTTGATTTTCGGCAAAGATTGCCGAAAATTGGGAGGTGTGGTCAAGGAAGATCAAGGTTGATGAATGACACTATTCTTGACCAGCCAATGAAAAGCGTTATGAAGACGTATATTGCAGGCGAAATATTGCAGGTATAGCTACCTTGTGTGACAACAACGCAATGCTGTTATCACCCATTGAGTAACCATCGCAGCAAAAATATTGCTCGTGTATCCGAAACTTTACAGTGAATATCAAGCTCCCGTGAAAGACAAAGTGTACATGCAAATTGCATGCACTTTGCCATATACATGCATGTGTGTTATGCAAAACAAGCAGGGTGGCATATAAACCATGATAATCTTTGTTACTTCGTGACACGATTCTATGAGAAAATACGGATTGATAATGAGGCCAGAAATTAAAACTATACACGGAGATGAAAGTTACCTATTAGGATGTTTGGGTTTGTAATCCAAGTTAGAATATATACATTTTAAGACCTAACCAGGAACGACTGCGAAAAATGCTGCTCAAGGTCCTCTGGTAGGAATTGAACCCACGGCCCTGCGATTACGGTGGAGCGCTCTAACAAACTGAGCTACAGAAGCCAGCTGTTGAGCTGTAACCGTAAGTTCATGTATATATAGGTAATCGGGTGTGCGGGTTGTGATAAGGTGGACTTGAATAACTTAGATTCTTGCACTTCACTTGGTGGAATTAATATTAGGATGTTTGGGTTTGTAATCCAAGTGAGAATATATACATTTTAAAATCTAACCATATACATGAACTTACGGTTACAGCTCAACAGCTGGCCTCTGTAGCTCAGTTGGTTAGAGCGCTGCACCTTAATCGCAGGGCCGTGCGTTCAATTCCTACCAGAGGACGTTGTGCTGCATTTTTCGCAGTCGTTCCTGGCTAGGTCTTAAAATGTATATATTCTCACTTGGATTACAAACCCAAATATCCTAATATTAATTCCACCAAGTGAAGTGCAAGAAGAATAGGTTATTTTGAGGCAACGAGGGGATATGTGATTTATTCACCGAGGCGCGCAGCGCCGAGGTGAATAAACACATATCCCCGATGTGCCTCAAAATAACGTACTTATTTTTCACACTGCGAGGTCGCGTTAATGAGTCAGAAAAGAAATAATTCTCAATGCCATATCGCCTTCGCGATGTTGTTTTTTCTCATTTTTTGTGCTGCAAAGACATTGCAGGTGAATATTAGAGGGGATTATTAATTGCAGGTGAATATTAGAGGGGATTGGTAAACGGAAATTGATTAGAGGGGAATATTGAACATATTCCCCGACAA